GTTTTAAAAAACACCCCCCCCCCCCCCCGCGCTCGCCAGGATTTTAGGGGAAAAAATTTTCGTCGGTAAGTTTAGGGAAATACCCCCCCCCCCGGACCGTCCCTGATAGCAAGACAACACAAAACAAACGCATTTTGTGGCAGAAAGTATGGGGCAAGGAAGTGCTCGAACGGTCTGGAGGCTCTAGTCAACCTATGCCTACCTAGAGGCAAACGTCTAGGTTGCAGAGGGCGAGTTGAGAGTACAACTGGAGTTGACTTCTGATGGTCTAGGAACCACCATTGGTTTACGGAGACACTCAAGACCTGATAGAGGACCAGGTAAACCTCTACATAACAAGGGAACAGCGGGCGAATCCGAGTCCTAGTTGGACTGCTGACCAACTATAGATAAAGGGTACTCAACTATGAAGTAAATGACCCTTCGAGTTTGTAGAATCTTCTCATTTCATGGGAATACCCTGAGCCTGCATCACGGCTTCAAATTTAGAATTTCAGAATAATTAGATGCACTATCTAGTGTATATAAGATATCCAAGGAGCGGACATCATATCCACACTTAGTGATAATGCGCGCAGCTCTGTTTTGTAAACGCTGCAGTTTATCAGAAAGTGTGGAGCCGAGGCCGCCCCGACTGAAAGGCTCAGACTTTGCCTGTGGCAGTGACTCTCACCCCCGGCTCTCCCCGAGGACTACGGCATAAATATTTACACGCATAAACGTACCAACATCAGCATGTTTGAGAGCTCCAACATCGTTCGTTCCATCACCACACATCAAAGTGACATAACCAAGACTTTTCATCTTCGTTACCACGAATTCCTATGACAAATATAGCGCGGCCAAAACTGTAAAAACGCGTCAAAATAAAACGAACACAGGTTGATGATTTATACAAAGCCGTGTGGGTTCATCAAAAATAGAATATTTGCTTGCTAACAGGAATTTTTTGCCTTTCCGCCTGAGACATTGGGGTTGATATGTTGGTTATTATAATTAGTTGGATATCTTTTATTATCATTTTAATTTAAACAGGTAAGACTTTTGCTTTATTTTGTTCTCTTCTACTGTTCTCCACGTTCGTTGGAGATTGTTATATATTTGTTATCCATGTTTTTTTGGATTTTAATATTCGAACTGTTCTCCATGTTGTTGGGGATTGTTTTACTGTTCTCCATGTTTTTGGAGATGTCTTGTTATAAGTATAATATAAGTAATTTTGGCCATCCAGGGCTCGTAACTTGCGGCGACTCTAAAAATGTCAGCCATACTTGATATACTTGCCCTGTGAAAAATTTTATTCGATTATCATCGTTTTTCATGCGGCTCAACGATGATGTATATTAATCGCACGATTATATTGTAAAATAAATCGAACACGGGTTGCTGATTTATACAAAGCCGTGTGGGTTCATCAAAAAGAACGTTAGTTAATATCCTGTATGAAAGTTTGTACAATTTAATTTGTGGAAATTCCTGATGTTTTTATGTCAGGTTTATATGTGTAATAACTCATTTCATTATATGGCAAGCATCACTTCCGGTGAAATGGCGGACTGTGATTGGCTGAGAAGCACTTTCAGCAGTCCATTATTTTATAATGGAAACAAACGCATGTATTTTAAAACAAAACAGCAAAACTAATTGAAAATTTGAAAATCATAATTTACTTTGTTATTAATTAGATATCTGCGAATGGTTTTTAGTGGAAAAGAAGGAATACATTGGTATTTTTTTGTTTTCTTCGACCAAATGTGCCCCACGCTACTAATATGCATTTCAAATCATGCATTTCTTGCTTGTTTCAAGTATAAATGCCTATAAATGCCATATAATAAACTTTTATTAACCTCGCTTGCTCGGTATGTACAGAGAAATATCGGATCTCGGTCCTTTTGTACAAACCTCGCCTGGGCTCAGTCTGTACAAAAAACACCTCGGTCCGATATTTCTCTGTTCAGACCTCGCGTTCGGTTAATAAGAAGTTAGTAATGTTAGTGTAAAATTTGATCATATGTTGGCCTTGTATTTGGTCTAATCACATGAGACATACTGTGGTCTATTGTTTGCAAGCATAATTCGAACCGCATGCATTTGCTATTCTGGGTAATTGGCTTGTGCACGGCCCCTGAATTTTAGAAACATTCCTAAAAAATGTATTCCTAGCTAAGGCCCTAATATACCTTATTTTCCTTTCTTTTCCTGGGTTTTTGTTTTAGTTTGTATGAAGCAAGAGAGAGTTTAGAGAAACAAAACAAACAGTAAAATATACCATTCGTATTATCTTTCGTAGCGCATTTGATAACGACGTAAGGAAACGTTTATCTGACAATGTGAACGACCGGCGGCCGACCTTCTGAAAGTACATTCTGATGGAATTTTTTGTTACTGCATACATTTTCTTATGGCTTTAAACATTGGTGAACAAGACTATATGTTGGCACGTCTGATTTTAGCAATATAGCCGAGAATTTAGAATTCTTACATTTTGCACAAGTTCGTAAAATAGTAAATATAACTATAAGATATTTGAGCATAGTGCAATTTTTCAAGCCGGTTTCGAGTTAAACTTACTGCACAAATTAGTGCATTTTTAAATCGGCCACGAAAATCATACTAGGCTATTGGCTTAAATGTTTTATACATACTTTTTTGCAAACTCTCTAATGGTCTAGTTTATAAGAAAATGCTAGTTGACAGCTTGTTACGAAAATGCCATCACATTAATTTTCTGGCACATTTTCAGGTGTTGGGAGGCCGTCTATTGTTAAATAGAGTCTATCATCATCATGTAACTTAAGAGTACGATGAGACCATTTTCTCATTGGTTATTGAGATACGATATATTTCAGTAATATTTCATTGACAAACCTTTTGTTTTGGGGCAACTCTGGCATATACTTTAACAACAGGCCAAAGTAGCGACAACGATTTGCTGAGTGGGCCATTACTTTGCAGCAAAGGGAAAGCCTGAAACAAAAGTTACACTTTTTATTCACATGTTTATTGACTTTGGGAAACGACGTTCATTTCATGGGATGGTGTACAGAAAGCTAGTTTAAAGTAACAATAATTTAGGACTGATTTAGGAGTCGAATTTCCGCCAAATTTAAAAATGATTTCCACTACGTTCTGCGCATCAGTTCTGCTCATAACAAAGGGAGACCCCCAGATATAAACATTGCCCAAATTTTGCATCTTTCGAACTTTTTTGAATTGAAATGTACAGTTTATATTCATTTACAAGCATAGCGAACCAGAAAAGTGTTATATATTCAGTTAGTATATCATATTTTACAAATATAGCAGTTCAAAACGTAAACAAAGTTCGCGCATGTGCACAGGAGTGGACATCATCTTTAAATAGTTTAATGTAATGCAGCTGATTTTTGTATTCGAGAGAAATGCCTCAAATGGCCTTTTAAAGGACAATGGTAACACAATTTTTTGTTGTCTCATTCGAAAGAACATTTAAAGCTTTCTATAAAACCTTGTTACAGAGTTTTCATATCTTGCTTGTTATCTTGAAATATTTTGACTGAAAGCAATGAGCTGTCCACCATCTTGGATTATTGCGAATATGTAAATTACGTAACACGTCCAGTGATCAATATGAACCAGAAATGGAATAAAGACATTTTAATTGAAAACTTTTGATTTTTCTGTGTTGGTGTTGTGTACTCAGGTGAATAATATGATGTTTGTGATGTTACTCTGAGTGTATATCCACACCGGGCGAGCTTGAAAAATATGCCCGGCCACGGTGGAAATCGAACCTACGACCTTTGGAATACTAGCCCAATGCCCTGCCAACTGAGCTACGCGGTAAGGACGGTTCGAGTAAGTGACATTTCGGAACAGAATCTAGTTCCTTCAATACCAATGTAATCTAGTAATATGATTTCTCTGTGTTGGTGTTGTGTACTCAGGTGAATAATATGATGTTTGTGATGTTACTCTGAGTGTACTTAGAAGTAATTTTATAAAACGTCATCAAAACGAAGATGTTAAGAATTAATCCAAGATGACGGACAGCTCATTGCTTTCAGTCAAATATATTTCAAGAGTTAAGGTTGGTATGAAAAATAAAGACATAGATTTTATAACTAATTTTAAACGTTCTTTCAAATGAAACAAAAATTTCAGTTGTTCAGTTTCACACCATCACATCAATTTCCCCCGCGTAATGCAAAATGACTGAAACACGGCAAACTTCGCAAGGCTATATTATTAGCAGCTATCGTAGTTGGATGTGGCAACCGTATCTTTGTCTTATAAATCTCAAGGGATTGATTGCAAACCGTAAATACGAATATATGAGAGACTAATATATACATTGCCCAATGAAAAATATATTAAAATTTGGATGAAAATTGAATGAAAGATTAGGAAAAGTTTGTCAGAAAGAGTAAACTGAATAAGTAATTAGCCCATTGTATAATTTATGTATGATACATATCACGGCATACAGTCTCCGAGTGCCCTCTGGTTTAAAAGGTTTAATCGCTGAGAAATTGTGAGCGTGGCCCATATGCAGTGATTTGCTAAGACTTTCATTAAACATAGCATACTCTTATTGGGATGAAAAAAGAAAGAAACGGGATAGAAAATCTCGGCATAGTAGAATACCTGCCATGTTCACAAATTCCCTGCGAGTAATCTTGAGACAATTTTTTAATGACAAAAAATAAAACAGTGTGTTGCAAGTTCAGCAAAAACTGTCCCCTGTAACATTGCAGAGAACATGTGCATGCATGGAGATATGCAATCTCGTTCCCAGAGTATGCCTGTTCGCGGGTTATGTACCGCAAACAGGCATACTCTGCATGGGAACGAGATTGGGAGATCTGCACAAGACAATCTCGACTTGCAAAACGCTTTTGGAACTTTTACAATAAGTAAATTACTTGGCAAATTATTTGCCATTCCATTATACAAGATGACAAAAATTTCCAGCAAGATGGAAGAAAATTTCCTATGAAGAAATTTTGTTAAAACATTCCTGGCAGTCGCGTGCTGCTGCTGAGTGCTGGTGATGCCAGACATTTTCCTCAAGAACATCACTCATTTGGCCTAACATGAGAAAAGTGAAGTCAGAAATTGACGTCCGAAGTCTATAAAGGGCGTAAACAGTTTTCACACTATCCCCACTGGCCCCCAGTATTTTCCAACGCATCGTATGGCTAATCAAGTTATCAGTTCATTAGACCATAATATTATTCTTTAAATCAAACTCGAACTTCGGCACACTGCTTGCAACAGAAAGGAACTTGCACTGGACGTCAATTTCCGCCATCTTGGCATTATCCGAGTTCTCGCTCCATGGAGCTCGCTGCTATACAGGCTAGAGACTTCAAATATCTTACCTCACCAGTAACACATAGATCAAAGTTTTGTTTCAACTTTTTTACTCCTCCATCAGGTACCAAGGGAAGTGTAGTAGTTTTATCCAAAGATTGCCAGCACCACATTTGTTCTTCTGAAGAAGGATAACTGTGTTAATATATGTATTTATTTTTCAATTATTAAAGGAAAAGTTTGTCCTGCTATTTCGGGTCGAAAACAAGTGAATGCGTCGTTAATGTACAAGTGCATGGTAATTAGTTGCTAAGCTTATTTTGTTTATATACTTAAAAGGCGAAAATGCCGTGCAGCTTAGCAAATTTAAGCCTATAAAGAGAGTTGTTTGACACGCCGTTTCCCCTTGGCAGTTAAAGTGACCTATTTGGGAAATTTCTCTAGTTGAAGCAAGGAAAGAGCTTGATAACTTTGTGCTTTTCGAAGACATATCGTCTATACTTCTCTTTCGACACACTTTAAATAATTAATTGATTAATATCATGTTATATACAAATAAAAAAATTTTTAAAAATTATAAAGTTGGCGGTAAAATAACAAATCTTGGCATGATTTATAAATCGCTTTTTTGTAAATATTGTTCCTTACTCATGTTATAAGACGGCCGACTGAAAATCACCTTTTATGCTGAATGGCTACCGTGAGTAAATATATTTTTGCCGGCCGAGCGCACACTATTCTTGACGTGTTGTTCAGAGTCCCCTCTACAGCATTGTGCGTCGCAGTTTTGGCCTAAATTTTGCCAGAGCCGGAGTTTATTCAACGCTGGCAAAACTCCAGCAGTTAACAGTGTTTTCAATAATAATAATCATCATAGCAGGCTGCATTTCAAAAATAGGCGTCTGCGTTCAAATCTTTCAAGTGAAAGCCAAATTTCAACCCTTTTTTAGGTTTTCAGTAAAACGCAATCTGCATGCATCCTATAAATTTAAGACTGATTTGGACTTCTTTCTTCTCCCCACCTTAAACTTTTGTAATAATATGTTGCTCTTACTTTCAGTGATAATATTAACTTTTAATATAATACTCATCTGTACAGGATTAGTGTAGGTAATAGTACGCCTTCGAGTCCATTTTTGAAAAGACATGCATGAGTATGCTGTCCAAGAGGATCATGGTAACTGTTTATTTCGTAGTGTAAGCCATCAACTTTACAAAACAGAAAGTCGTCATGCCCAAATAAGAGCTCTTGCAATTAAACATTTAATAAACGAGTTACGAAGGGAGTGATAAGGAATTGTTTATCCCCTAAAAACGTTGTTCTAATCCACATTTTTTAGTAACGTGCCTACTCTAGCCTATGGCTGCTTTAGCCTATGCCTGCTCTTAATGTTCTAGGTTGTCGGCGACCTTATACAGTTCTTGCCGTGTCGTGTCTTTTTCAATTTGAAACTTTACACTATCCTTGGATCGCTAGTTACTTGCTTTATACTATTTTCAATAAAATAATACAATCTAATGTCGCTAGAAAATTACAGTAAACGAAAAAATAACTGGCTGTCAGAGGTGAAATAGGCGGCGGTAAACCGCCGGTAACCGCCTCCTATTGAAAACACTGGCAGTATTTATTTGTGCTGCAAACTACTGTCGGACAACGGCGAAAAAACATGAATCCATCAACGAAAAAGTAAATACCAGGCCTTAAAATATCTTTTACAGGAGCGTCTGACAAAATGTCCGATGACTTTGAGTCGGACATGTGTATGAATTAGTCCGTTGACCTTCAGTTCAGTTTGGCTCTGAAATAAATCTGAATGACAACACATTAATATCAGCGCACAATGTATTCATTCTGAACGGCAAATGTTGTGAAGATATTAAATAATTTGTGTCATTCATACTTATTTCCAAGCCAAAATTAACTTGCTTGCCAAGAACAGCTAGCTAGCAGTAACAGCACAAACAACTTAAGCCCGTTTTCCATTTCACCATTTCATTCGCCACCCCGCCCTCGATTACATTAGAACAACATTTCCAGTTCACTTTTGATACACTACTCTGATTCTTCATTTAACATAAGAGTCTCTAGTCCTGGACTAGGGTACATTTTGATTTACGTCGGACAAAGTTACAGTTAGGTCGGACACCAATACACTCGGGACGGACAAACAATAAACCTCAGTTTAACTTAGGTCTTACACAGAATGTCCGTTAGTTTCCTCCCTACGTCGGACAATTTCACGAATGGGTCGGACAATGTCCGTGACCGACCGATATTTTAAGGCCTGAATATTCGCACTGACACTGCTTAGGCTTGTCACAAATATTGTAAGAAATTTAAAGTCGTGTATGTATATCAACCATGTATATCAATCATGTTTTCGATGGTACGAAATGTGCATGTGAAGTGTTAAAATCAAAAACAAAGATAGTGCTTCCAATTTGAAATGTGAAATTTTCATGAAATTTCGAATTTTCACAAATTTGCTGGAGCTGGAAATTTTCTGCCGAAGCCGACACAAGCCGGCGAAATAATTTTTGAGTGCTTATCTTGAGAAAAACAACATCAGTATACTCTATCGTACCAAATTCAAATTGAAAAGTATCAAGCTTTCGTTGGTAGCAACTACCTGAATAATATAAGGAATTCTCCTTACATACATTGGCACAGACAGTTCAAGACTATATCAATGTAATTTTATCCCTGGTAGTGTTCTTATGCGATGTTTTGACCCTGTGTGGCGGTTGAATTCAATATGCTGTGGCTAAATAATAAATTTGAAAACATACGCGGAAGTAAATTGATTCGGATTCCTTACGGAAAGGCTTTTTTTTACATCGTTTTACAGTTTGTTTTAAATCGCTACCGTACTATTGACAGTATTTATATTTCACTGTTCATTCACTGTAGTTTGGAGTTTCGACAAGTCGAGGATTTTGAACAATATTAATAAACGTTAAAACCATACTGAACAAAAGTTTTAAAACTGGTTAACAACATACGTAAAATTACATTGTCATTGACCATCGCTTTGTCAATCTGCGTCGCGTAAACGTCTCACGAATCTGTCTACTTGAAAAACACTCAGTCAAAATTAGTATTTAATAACATCTAAAATGTAAACGTAGTGTAAATTAGTGACTACAGAGCTGCAAAGATTTACACCATTTTGATGTTGTACCGACACCCAGAAATTTAGAGTGAAATTGCCCGCCAAACTGACAACATAATGAAGCGTTTTAGATTATAAATTCTTAAAACACACATACCACCAGAGTTGTCTCCAGATGCTGTTAATACCAAGGTCTGTTTTCTCGTCAGTTTGAGTTCTTGAGCGACGTGACAAGCAGTGAGAGGATTATCGCCAGTAATCATTACAGTCTATGAAATAAAAAACCCAGCTGTACTATCTCATCATACAACGAGCGTGGTTAGTCTGTGTTCCAGTTCACTACATCGTTGTGTGTGGACTGTGCAATATGCCATTCTCGTACCCAGAGCCCTTCTTACTCGCGGTGCGACGAGGGGCTCTGGCCAAAACCGGATACCATAAAAACATGGTGAAAGAATATATCCGGTATTAGAACAATAACCTTCGTTGTAGCCAATCAGATGCCAGTTTGATATGGATTTGGCCAGAGCCCCTCGTCGCGCTCCGTTGACCACGCGTAAGAAGGGCTCTGGGTACGAGAATGTGCAATATGCCAATTCGAATTTTCCACTGCACATCCAAATGACAAGTTCTGTAAGAATATAACCTTTCGATATTACGTCATTTGCCTGGGAGCCTCGCTCTCATGAATCGTGAACCTTGCGTAATTTACTAATGAGAGCGAGGTTCCCAGTATGTGTGACGTAATTATGGAAAGGGTGTATTAGAATATGCTTATGAAAGCGCAACCTCGTTCCCAGGCTACAAGAGGGAAGAGACTGGGAACGAGGTTGATGAAAGTGTTCAACTGAACAACTAGTTTCCGCACGGCTGATTCGCTTTAAATGAGAAAATATATTCTCTTATGGCCAGCTCAAGTCTCATTATCACTTGTTTAAAGCGGTCCAAAATAAATTGGAAGAGTATCTGGAAGTTATATCTTTCAAGTTACGTAGAACATATTTGCTTGATAGTATAACTAATTTAAACACGTAACGATTCGTAAGGAATGTGGCAGATTTAAAAACGTCTCCTCATTATAAATATTCTCAGTGGCTTCAAAATTAATTTCCTGAATTCGAAAGGTTTCTCTATCCAGTCTTAATTTTGAGATCAGAGATATCACTACATTTGCGCATTTGCATGATCATATACTATAACATGTTAATTTGCGCAATATAAATATTAAATATTATTGTGAGGTCAACAGGTGGAAAAATTGTTTGAACATGCGCGAAAAGTGCGCGTGTATTCTGCGAGGGCAAGATATGTATGACTTGATCGGGTTTCCAATTCTTTTTGTGCAAAGTTTTGAAGTTGAACAATTTTAAACACTGTATTTTTTACTGTAGCTAACACCCTAAATTCCATTTGAAAGTAAGTTCTTCAAGTTTTCGACAACTAAGTAGCAAATTGGAGCTTCAATTTTAATGCACAAATTGTTCGAACTTCGAACAGCTAGCAGTTGGCCTCAAAACACGATTTGAAGTTTGTCGTAAACTTCTCAAATTCATTAATAATTCATGAGCAATTCAGCCAATGATAATCACCTATTTGATCACAAGATGCCATTTGGATAACCCGGTGAAACTTGATGAAAGTCACTAGTGTTTTCATCAAATATCTTAATTACGCATGCAAAATTACTTGAATAGAATTCCTAATTAGTAATTACGTTATGCTTGGTAAACAATTCTATTCAAATGAACAAACGAAAACGTCTCGATTCATTTGAGAAGCCATATAAACAACTCGAGCTCGTGTCTCACCGGGATATCCAAACACTCGAAAACAATGTATGAAAACACTCGCGCTTCGCGCTCGTGTTTCCATACATTGTTTTCTCGTGTTTGGGTATCCCGGTGAAACACTCGTTCTCGTTGTTCATATATTACGTCATATGTAGCTCTTCAATGTTCCACATATAACACCTATTTCTCAAATGCCATTCAAAACGTAGAAATTTGGCATAATAATATACTTACATGATGAGAAGCATGTTGAATTTCTTTGATCGCATTTCTTGACGTTGCTTTTAAAGGACATGAAATAATGACAAAACCAGCAAAAGTCAAGTCACACTCCACAGAACCGCGTTTCAGTTCTCGAATCTAAAGATACAAGATTTTGAAGTTTCAGGCAAAAGTTGTTAAAGCCAGTTAGTAAAAAGAGAGAGACCTGATCTAATTCTTTGGAGAAGAGTCCTTTATTGGCTAACCTTCCAAAAAGCAGGCTTTCTGGCATCCTTGTGTAGAAAAGTAGGACAAAAGTAGGACTAGAATTTTAGGAAAAGTAGGAATAAAGTAGGAAAATGTGTAGAAAAGTAGGACAAAAGTAGGAGTTTTGGAGATGCAAATAACACAAAAATATACAAAATTGGCCCCTAGGATATATGTGGTAAGGGGTAGACCATTAGATATCTGATGGGGAAGTTGTGTGAATTTTTGGTGCTCAATATTTTTATGTACTCATTCATCTATGCAGGATTTTTTTTCCCAAAACTTTTAAATTCATCTGCTCTGCAGCAACAGAATTCAAATGCACGTATTGGGCTACACAATGCACCAATCCACACTACGGCAGGAGCATATATCAGGGAGGTAGGAAGCTCTATTTGATTGGGGGGGCTGAAAGCGAGGGCCGAAGGACCGAGGAAATTTTTAAATTTAGAGTCTCTGAAATGCTATTTCCTGGACTTTGGGGAAGATTTGACAGAATTCTAATGGTCAGAAAATAGCGTTTTACTGGGTTTTAGGTATGCCGAAATTTACCATTTAGTAGTACTAAATGGGCGAAGGCGTATTTAATTAACAATATATTGGATAAGTTGCAGGAAAGTATGGGTAATATCTTCATTCTTTGCAGTTTGTCATGGATTAAATGATAAAGGTCTGCATGATTTTGAAAAAAAATAGATTATTAGCACACTATTGGGGGGCTGCTACGGCTCTGTATATATGATGCTTGATTAACTGGGGAGGGGGGGGGTTGAATATTTGGAATATCTAGATCGTCGGAAATGGCACTTTCAGAGTCTTCATAATTTATTGATTATGATTCTAGAGATGCTATGAAATTATATACTCGGAAAATGTACTTCTTCTCCTCCTGAGATCTTATCATCTGGGACACAAATAGGGAATACAAATTGCGAGTCCTATAGATCTAATTACGAGCGCTATAACATATACTGATTCCCCAAGCTGTCTTAAAAAAGTAGGATTTTATGAGAAAAGGTAGGAAAAAGTAGGAAAATCAAGCAATTTTTAATAAAAAATAGGAAAAGTAGGAAAGTTGAAGAAAAGTAGGAAAAAGTAGGAAAAGTAGGATGGCAAGAAAGCCTGAAAAAGGTTTCATAAAATGAAAACCATGACCGGATTTTGAGGGGAGGTCGGGGGAGGCGCGCACCTCGCTCCTCTGAAATCGTTTTGCACCATCCCTTGAAAAAGTAAAATGATGAAAGTCAAAATTTGACTCAAACTTAACAGCTAACTACCTTTAATTTTTGTTATTAAAATTTTAAAAACAGTTTGTAACGACGTTTTTCGAAAGAAATTTTGCAATGTTGCTACGAGAGGCGAAATTGGACGAGTTGTATAATTCATGAATATATTGATAGATATGTACACTGTACAGTACACACATACGTCACACAGTTAACTTCAGGGGGTTACGTTCTAAGCCCTAACATTCCAGGTGTATGCACCTCCCCTAAAATATTTCCCACCTCCCCCAGCAAAATCCAGTAAAGACCATGTTTTATTGGTCCAGTATTACTGCAGGAAGAAACCGGAGAAAACCTATGGGGTTTGGCAGAATCAAAGTGAAAGTATAATTAGAAAAGTACATATTGAAAGCAGTGGCATAACGGAGGAACAGGGGGCTCTTGGGCATATTTGGTGTGGGGGCCCCTGTTGACTGTTGCCATTGTTTGACTGAGATATTATATTTATATTGAATATTTATAGAATGTTCTGGAAAATTCCATGTCTATAACAGTAACAATATCCAACACATGTAACAACTAATAAGAATGATTTTTGTTTTATTTGAAATGGAATAAAAAAAAAACAGATACCGTTGTCGATGGAGGTTTAATTCTTTAGCATTATTAATTTTGCATTTTCCCATTGATTCTTAACCTGCATTTTTTACATTTTCTAATTTTCTGGGCGATAGGCCGTGGCTGATGGGCCCCCTATAACTGTCGAGGGCACTTAGTTTTTTAACCGCTAACCATACCTAATGAACGTTACGCCACTGATTGCAAGCAGGAATTATGATCACGAAGGAAAACGCTAATACACTAAACACGCGTCATTTATTTGGAATTCAAAATGGCTGCCTTCGATGGAGTAAATATATGTTTTCATATGCGAAATTTATGTGAATACTATTGAAAGGTACATAACAATCCATGTTAAATATTGTGAATTAGTATTTTTGCACAAGTGAACATAACAAATCCTACACGTTGATTGGTCAAATTTGACGTATTAATCTGTTATATTCACCTACAGGTGAATATAACAAAATCGAAATTTTCAAAATGGCGGCTAGCCTTTTTGTTGAAGTTACTGATAAAGAAATAAGCGAAATTAAAATGAATTCAGACCAGAAAAACACAAAAAAACTTGTGCAAAAATACTAAAACAATTATTCGCCTCTGGCTCGGTGATTATCGGGGAATGTTCACCTCGACTTCGTCTCGGCGAATATTCCCCGATAAACACCTTGCCTTCGGCGAATAATTGTGAAATGTTAACTATTGTTAAACCTTTGCGGAAACCTTTTCATTCTCGTGCGCAGAGTCCTTGATTCAAATCTGGGTTTTTTCTATTTCGAGTTGGGGTTTGAAAAGTCATGTCCGGGTTTTCTCAAAGACGGGTCCGGAAATCTATGAAGGCAGTAAGCAGTCTTCATAGCATCCCCCCCAGCTAATTCCAGTTTTTTCTAACGGACGGTATAGCTAAACAGGTAATCCGTTATGAGTATGCCCGTCCGCAGGTTAAAATTTGAAATTTGAGACAAAGGCTTGCGTAGCTGTAAGGCCTGCTAATGGCGGACTGTGATTGGCTGCATGAGAAGCACTTTCAGCGGTCCGTTATTTTCACGGTTGGTTTTTAGTGGAAAAGAAGGAATACATTGGTATTTTTGTTTTGTTCGACCAAATGTGTACCACGCTACTAATATTATATCAATGCATTATATACCTATAAATGCCATATAAACTTTTTATTAACCTCTCTTGCTCGGTATGTATACAGAGAAATATCGGACCTCGGACTTTTTGTACAGACCTCGCGTTCGGTTAATAAGAAGTTAATAATGATGTTTACTCGGTTGGATAAAATTTCTTCAAAAATATGGCACATCGTTTGTCGATCTTTAGCACTTCTGTTTTGCGAGTATTTTCTAATATGTCAAATACGAAATTTCGGCACGTTCCCGGCAGCTACGTACTCATCGCGTAGTGAAGAAAGGGACTGAAATTGATGTCAAAATATCTTTATCTTGGGTTACTTTTTGGACTCGAGTTCCCACTCCAGATATATATGGAGCACATTGACCTGAGCACACGTGTAAATAGTTGGGTTTGAAAATTATTTTGAAACAAAGTGGGGATATCACCTTGAATTTGTTATAATTAATAAATACTATCGTTGATGTTTGTGATGTTATTCTGAAGCCTGGTTCACATATGCCTGCGGTATGCCTGCGACTGTATCATTATGCCTCTACTTGCCGCCGAAATACCGGCAAAGTTGAACTCAAGTCAACTTTCCCGGCCTACCGCCGATGTAACTGTGGCACTGGAGGCAATCGGCGAACAAATATTCACATAATTTACGTTTTAAGCTACCACCGGCATCGTCGCCGGTACGTCGCAGGCATATATGTGAACCAGGCTTGAGTGTGCATCCACACCGAGCAAGCTCGAAAAATATGCCTGGCCACGGTGGAAATCGAACCTACGACCTTTCGGGAATACTAGCCCAATGCTCTGCCAACTGAGCTACGCGGTCAGGTCGGTTCGAGTATGTGATGTTTCGGAGTCTAGTTCCTTCGACATCAATGTAATCTGGTAATCATGATTTTTTGTGTTGGTGTTGTGTACTCAGGTGAATATAATGTTTGTGATGTTACTCTGAGTGTGCATCCACACCGGGCAAGCTCGAAAAATATGCCTGGCCACGGTGGGAATCGAACCTACGACCTTTGGAATACTAGCTTTCGCGTTTATCGAAAAAAAACTATGAAATACCCGATTTCTATCAGTTGATCTTACAATTCCCACGACTTCCAGAACAAGAACGACTTCGGTAGTGGCGGACTTCCAATACGCTGGTCCTCGCGCTTTTTGCGAGCGCAGCGCATGCACATGACCTGTTGTTGGTATCAGTCTTGGTGTCGGAAGTCGAACTTAAGGTACGTTTACACGCTGCGATTTGTCGGGCCGATTTTTCTCGCTGTATGTAAATAACCTGCCGTGAGTACTCGCGTCAGCACCTTGCGATTCACAAAATCGGGAGAAAAATCTGTAACACTAACACAGATTTTTCTCACGATTCAACGATTTTTCTTCCGTTGTAAAGTTGTTGAAAACTTTTCGCACGCAGAAAACTATAATATGAACAGACGAAAGAGCGGACAGCTTCAATTAAACGTTTAAATCGCTCAATGTCGAAAATGGGCATCGATTATTTACCAAAATCGGCCCGACAAATCGCAGCGTGTAAACGTAGCTTTAACTAAACTCTCTATTACCTCCGCCAGGCCTAGGAGGTTATGTCTCTGTGTGTGTCTGTCAGCCCGATATCAAAGTAAATATCAAACGTATTAAATACGAAAATATTTGGGACTAATGGACATTTCCAAAGGAGAAATTTATTAAATTCCGGTAAAATTGGATGAGGAATTAGTAAAAGTTTGCCAGGCAGACTGAATGCGTAATAAGCCCACTGTATAATTTATGCACGATGCACATAACTTAATTCGCTGGCGGAAGCCCTTTAGTTTATATATACATACGTCTTTGGCTTGTAGTTCACCAAGGTTTTTGTATCCAAGTGCGAGAACTCTGGCTCCTTGCCAAGTCATCTTTTGATACACGGCTTCGTAGTTGTCAGGAATAGTTGTGTACTATACAATAAAAATCATACCATCTTCCACAGTCTGAAATACCAGTCGGGAATCATATTTCTATGATCCCGGATGGGGCTTTGGTGGCACAGTCGACAGAGCAAACACTTTTCATCTCTGAGACCGTGGGTTCGATTTTCTCTGCAGATTCATATGAAAATAGTCTCTCAACAATCTGCCCAAAGTCGTGAGTTTTTTCTCCGAGCGCTCCAGTTTCCTCCCAGAGGGAAAGTTGACAGGGTGGGTTAGGATAAACATATATAAATAATATCACCATTGTTGTAAAGATAAACAGTGTAAGTAAGTAATACAAGTATAAGCGATGAACGCAATACTTGATGTAATCGGTTGCCGAAAAACCTTGAACCGATGAATCTCCGTGACCGGAGTCAGACATGTGCTTCTAAGCTCATTGGAAAGCTAAGGATACTCACTTTGGGCAAGTCTACTCCTTCTTAAAATCTGATTATTAATCTCTGATACATTTATTTGATCTTTGGCTTTGAGTTCATAAGCAAAGTAAAATGTAAAATGTCCGGTACCACCAGGGCAATTCAGTGATGCGTTTCTGGTATTGGAGATGAGCTTAAAAAATATTTTGAATCTCCTATTGTTACTGCCACGATGAAGAAAGTGGTTGCTGATGTTTTAAAGGAAGAGCCGTTCCTGTAAATCATAAAGGATGCTGTGGATAAAGCGGTGTTGAAAGCTGTTGGGTTTTTGAACGACAAATTGGCCGAAGTGCATTCGTTAGCACACGTGTTAATGCTATGGAAGAAGTTGTACGTGCCTTCGAATCAAAAGCTTTTGGCGGTACAAAATGCGTCAGAATCTGCTTTATTAAAGGCAAATGAAAAGGAACAGTACTCAAGGAAATACTATCTAGGATTTGTCGGCATCGAAGAAAAGACGGGCGAAAACGGTCTCGTGAAATTTTGTAACGAGAAACTGGGAGTGACTTTTGATGAAAATGATAAGACCGAGCCATCGTATTGGGACGCTTTAATCGTCAAATTAAAAATTACAAGTCGAAAATGGCAGTTTGCACGAGAAGAAAATACCTTAGGGAGGTTCCATACACAAGGACGCGGGATGTTCGCAGGACCTCTACGTGGGCTATCCCACGCAACCGCACGATTTGTTTTTTTAAAGTGCTATTTATAAGCGTTCAATGATCCTTCGTTTTGAGTGGCAAGGAATTGCGAGTCTAAACAGCAATTTTAAAAATGATACGAATATCAATAGGCCAACTGAACCAATCCACGAGCCCGAAGCAATTTTTTCACTTCCTAAAAACACACACTGTCAACTGTAAAACATTTGCTAAATTGTACACAAACTTTTCAGAAATGTTATAAACGTGTGATCTGGAATTTTAATATAGTTAACGAAACTGAGCTCCCTACTTTTTTACTATAGTGGCAGACCTGGAAAGCCTAACAAATAGCGAATATATTAATTCAGCATACGAAAATTGATTTCACTGTTTTCGTGGTATAGTCGAGATTCACATTCCTCACAAAATTGTTACATCCTCGTGATAAACCGTGGATGAAGACTAATGCAGGCTAGGCGTGCAATTCGTAAGAGAAATAGGTCAATCCAAACTTTAAATTTATTTAAAAATTCATTAATAATTCACGAGGAAAATACAAAAGAAATGAATGTTTAATCAATGTTTGTAAATCGGATAAGGATTTGTTCTGGTTCTGATTTTCTCGGCTTAGACAATGTTTATTTTCAAAGTTACTTCGCCAATGAACTCATAAGATGGGTCATTTTTTACGTACGATAAAACATTCGCATCCGATCTGTATCTGATATACTGTACAAACTCTCGCCTTCGGCTCGAGTTTGTATATCAGATACAGATCGGCTGCTCATGTTTTATCTAGTACTTAGATGCTAAGGAAAAAGCCGACCCATTTAATGAATAATTTTGTATTCAATGCTGTGTTAATGCTTGTGTTAGATGAATAACTTAGGTTTACACGAAGTAGAGCATTGACGGTCAAGTTGATCGCGGGCGCATGTAGAGAAACGGCATGGCTTTTGTATGTTAAAATATAGAATGGTTTTTGAGCTAGTTTTAAAACGAAAAGCACTATTAAAGTGAACTAAGTCAACGTTTAAATATAAAATATATCGAAAGAAGAACCCGTGTAACATTTTGGGGGCTCAGGCGGGAATTTTACAGCAAAATTCAAGGAGAAAAAGCGATCGAGAGGAGTATTTTCACTAATATTTGTAGTGAGTATATGAATGTGGAATTGTTTATACGAGGCGAACACAGGCGTTTCCTCGATGAAATGTTTGTATTTCTACGAAGCATGGACTGAACTTGTTTAACTTTGCAATTGTGAAAGGGACTTGTGTGCTTATATTATCCATTTTAACTTGATTACTTGAAGTATTGGTGTTATAATATGGACTGAACTTGTTTAAAACTTGCAAATGGAAATGTGAATGGGACTTGTGTGCTTATATTATCCATTTTAACTTGATTACTTGAAGTATTGGTGTTATAATATGGACTGAACTTGTTTAAAACTTGAAAATGGAAATGTGAATGGGACTTGTGTGCTTATATTATCCATTTTAACTTGATTACTTGAAGTATTGGTGTTATAATATGGACTGAACTTGTTTAAAACTTGCAATTGGAAATGTGAATGGGACTTGTGTGCTTATATTATTCATTTGAACTTGATTACTTGAAGTTTTGGTGTGATAATTTAAAACTGTGACATTGATTAAAAGTCAAAATGGCCGACTCAGAGGTTGAAGAAATGTTATTGGAACTGGAGTCGGAAATACTTGCATTAAAGCTGGATGACATTTTGAAGTTAGCACAAAATATAAAGCTAGACGAATCTAGTGTTCAAGGTAAGAGTAGATTTATGATTCTAAAGGTTATACGGGAAGCTATAGAAGAGACAGTTGGAACGCTAACTGAGAAAACAGAATGTGTGACATATATAGAAAGTATTAAAGTATTTCTTGGTCCACCACCGCTCGAAGAGCCGGCTGATCAAGAGGAGGGACCCCAGAAAGAAGTAGAAGTTTCAGAAGTGGGACCCCAGGAAAAATCAGAAGTTGTAGAATTGGAAGAGAAGATACAAGAATTGTTGAGTAAACAAAAAGAAAACAAACTAAAGGCTCAAGAGAAAAAGGGAACAGGTGTTAGTAAGAAGAGTCCTGTTCAACCAGAAAATGTTATAAAAGTACCATTGGCAAATCTTGAAAAGAGTCTGCTACACCGAGATTTTAAGATACAAGGTGTAGTTGGGGAACCCGGACAGAAAGATAAGTTGGGGTATCAATCATTAGTTTCCCAAATTGAAGCCGGTGTTAGAAAACAATACTCTGAACTAGAAATTGTTAATGCAGTAGTTCGAGCAGTCCAACCAGGACTTCAGTTAAGAAGTTATTTGGAAAGTGTTACAGACCTAACCTTGCCCAGGCTAAGGAAAATTATTCGGTTCCATTATCATGAGAAGAGTGCAACCGAACTCTATCAAATGTTAGCCAACATTACTCAACAACCAAAAGAGGATCCACAATCTTTCCTCATTCGAACTCTGACCATTCGCCAAAAGATCATTTTTGCCTCAAAAGAGTCTGGAAATAATATAACCTATGATCAGAGCTCAGTGCAAGGATTATTTCTGCATGCCCTTGAGACAGGGCTTATTGATGAGACAATCCGAGCAAAGATGAGACCAACCCTCCAGAATCCTCTGGTCACCGATGAAGATTTGATTGAAGCCATGAACATGGCTATGTCCGCAGAAACCGAGAGAGTAAACAAATTCAGTTTTTCGGGCAGAAAGTCAGCAAGCATATCAACAGTGGAGATGACATCTGAAAAAAACAAGGAAAAGAGAGAGGAGGGAAGAGTATTAGCCGCGCTGAAGGCTGTGCAATCCGACATGGCGACGATGCAAAGCGAGATGAAGTTTCTCCGTGATGCAGTAACCAAAGTGCCTGAACCGGGGGATGAAATGCGAAACAATGTGGCGACGAAGGCTAGTCGACCGAAGCGTGGATGTAGAGAATGTGATGAGAAAGGTTTGTCGGACACGTGTAATCACTGTTTTCTTTGTGGTGGGGCCAATCATATAGCCAGATATTGCAACATGAAGTTCAGAAACCAGGGAAACCACAAAGGGCTGCCCCCGAGGGACAGGGTGTAGCCCAATCAAAGACAGAAATGAAGTCCCACCTTTGTAATTACTGTTTGAAGAAAGAAAGTAGATCAAATGAATTTCAAATATGTTCGATATGTAAAATTGTGCATTATTGTTCAAAGGATTGCCAGAGAAAACATTGGGTTGAACATAAGACTCTCTGTACATCCATCAAGAACCTCTCAACAACTGCAGGTACAATACCTGGTTTGGGAGATTCCGCAGATACGAACATGTTTGTCAGTCATCTCACCCCAAAACAGAGAGATACCGTAGTGAAGCTTGTTGGGGAAAAGTGTCAAGTCAAATGCCAACTCAATGGTAAAGAAACGGAGATACTTTGGGACACAGGAGCCCAGGTCTCAATTCTACCTGAGAGAATTTTGAAGGACATGTTCCCAGACATTCCGGTTAAGGATATACATGAGCTTTTGGGGGCTGGATCAGATCTAAAGCTAGAAGCAGCCAATGGAACACAAATTCCGTACAACGGGTGGGTAGGAGTAAATTTTAAGCTCCTTAACAATTCAGCAAAAGAAATCACAGTACCATTTTTGGTCACAAATGAAGACCTTAACTGTCCCATAATTGGTTACAACGTAATTGAACTTTTTGTGAAGGATAATGGCCCAGAAACGGCATTGTCCGCTGTTGCAGAAAGTTTTGACAATGTCAGTAACACAGAGGCAAGTGCCCTAGTTAATTTTATGAACAGCGATCTTAGCGAAAGTCTTTGCGCAGTTCGAACATCGAAAAAGAAAGTAGTTATCCCTAGTGGCCAGACCATGAATATTTCATGCCGTGCAAACACTGGACCAATAAGACGAAACAGTCCTGCATTATTTGAGCCAGATGAACAAACCCATATGCCAATAGGTCTAACAGTTCAAGAGGCTCTGACCACAGTGAAACAAGGGAAGTCTAGCTTAATAGATATTCCAGTAACTAACACAACACAGCACGATATTGCCTTACCCGGTAGACTAGTCCTTGGCAACCTACAATTGGTTCGCTCGGTTACTCCACTTGAAGTCAAATTAAAGAAGGAAGAACTGGGAGAGCAGCCAGGCAACATAGAGACAGAGATTCAGGTAGATCCAACAAAACCATCATCCCTGGAAAGTGAAGAACCCAGACTACCAGATGTAGACTTAAGTGGGCTTACACCTGAACAAAGACGAGAAGCAACAAAGATGTTATACGAGGAAGCTGATGCATTTGCGATGGATGACGAAGACGTTGGGTGTATTGAGGGACTTCAAATGAACATTCACTTAACTGATGATCAACCAGTCCAGAAGAACTATTTGTCAATTCCCAGACCACTGTATCCGGAAGTAAAGGCTTATATAGAGGACCTATTGAACAGAAATTTTATACGCAAATCGAAATCACCGTTTTCCAGCAGTGTGGTATGTGTTAGAAAAAAAGACGGTGGGTTACGATTGTGTGTGGATTATCGAGCTTTAAACCAGAAAACTGTACCTGACAGACACCCTATCCCGCGTATTCAGGAGACACTAGACAACCTGGGAGGAAACCACTGGTTCAGTGTCCTCGACCAGGGGAAGGCTTACCATCAAGGTTTTATGGACAGAGATAGTCAGCCTCTTACAGCCTTTATAACCCCCTGGGGCTTGTATGAGTGGACCAGAATACCGTTTGGGCTAATGAACGCACCCGCCAACTTCCAGAGATTTATGGAGAACTGTTTGGGAGACCTTCGAGACAAAATTTGTATACCATACTTGGACGACGTTATTGTTTTCTCCAAGACCTTCAAGGAACATGTGCAACATCTACAGGAAGTTCTTCAACGATTAAAGAGTCATGGGGTTAAACTTAAGCCAAAAAAGTGTAACCTGTTTAAGAACGAGGTGTCATTCCTGGGTCGAATCGTATCAGCTAATGGGTATCAGATGGACCCCAAGGCGACTGCAGCCGTTGAAAAGCTTAAAGGAGTCATTCCAAAGACCGTAGGAGAAGTGCGAAAGATAATGGGTCTGCTTGGTGTGTATCGACGGTCGATCGAGAATTTTTCGAAGATTGCAAAGCCATTATACGACCTGTTAAATAGGGACACATCTCCACCGAAGATGTCAACAGCAAGCAGAAACAACCACAACAAGTATGGCAATAATCAGTTACCATCCAAATCACTGATACAGTGGAAACCTGAACATTCCAGTGCCTTAGAAATTCTCGTTGAAAGGATAACTTCTCCACCTATCCTCGCCTACCCACAATACAATGATCCATTCCTTGTACA